AAAAATAAGTGAGGTATCAACTTCCATTTTGGTGAAAAGGCTACTGTTTAAAATAGGGTTGCCACAACAAAATCTAAAATGGCTACCACCCACACACACACATACACACACATACAGAATATACTTTCTAAATTCATATTACTCAAAAGTATAGTTTCCTCAAATGATTGGGGCAGCTGAAGATTAATCTATGGGGGCCAAGGTCACCGTTGGCCACCCCCTGGCTTGGCCACTGCTCCTGATGGTGGATAAACTTGCTCTTTCCACTCGTCAGGATCTGTTACCCTGTCTTGTCTCGGACAAGCAAAAATAAATAAATACAATAAAAATATACCTCTGTTCTTCTCCACAGTGTAACTTCTACCCACTTGAACATCCATCCATCCATTATCTTTACCCGCTTATTCCATTTTGGGTCACGGGGGTCGCTGGTGCCCATGTCCAGCAATCACTGTGCGAGGGGCGGGGTACACCCTGGACAGGTCGCAAGTCCATCACAGGGCCACTTATGCCCCTTTTCCATTAGTACCGGTACGGGCCGGTACAGCCCGGCTCTACTCTACTCGGTACGGTACAGGTTGTGTTTCCATTATGCTTTCAGTACCGGTTCCAGTGGGCGGGGTTCAAATTGACGTCACGGCCTCTCACCAGCTGGTGGCACTGAGACGCAGAAACTGTTTTCAGTACAGGTTGAGAATTTATGTTATTTTGAAGTTGTGTGTATGTGTGTATGCATGTATACATGTGTATAAATATATATATATATATATATATATATATATATATACACACATATATATATATATATATATATATATTTATACACACACACACAAATATATATGTACACACATATGTGTATATATTTATGTGTATATATATATATATATATACACACACACACACATATATATATATATCATATGTATATACACACAATTATGTATATATATATACACATATGTATTTATATACATATATATGTATTTATGTATATTCATATATATTTATATACATATATATATGTATTTATATATATTCATATATATTTATATACATATATATATGTATTTATATATATTCATATATATTTATATACATATATATATGTATTTATATAAATTCATATATATTTATATACATATATATTCGTATATATTTATATACATATATACATATATATGTATTTATATATATACATATATATTTATCTATATTTATTTATAGATATAAATATATATATGTATATAAATTACATATATATGTATTTTTATATATACATATATATTTATCTATATTTATTTATAGATATAAATATATATATGTATATAAATTAAAACTCTGATGAACCAGATTCTACAAAAACATTACATTCAAATTTTTATAGGTTTTCATCATCATTTGATGTATTTGCACTCATTGTGTCTACTTTTAATGTTCATTTTAAATGTGTGGTTTCCTTTCTTGTTCACATATATACATTTTATTTTTAGCTTTGCTTTAAAGTTCTTGTTTTGTGATTTGTACATTCGTGAGTTAAAATAAAGTTGAACTGAAGGTCGTCTCTTTTCTTTAAACATGTTTGAGGGAAATATTCCTGATATCCAATAGTTTTGTGTCTTTTTATGATTTTCAGCTGAGTTAACAGTCATTAAAGTGAAAACAGGATTTCATGATGAAGCTGGCACGTCTTTTTTTTTTTTTTAATCTTCAACGCTCTGCTGGTCTCGCACGACACTGCCCGCAGTCACACGATCCTCTCCTCCGGAGAGGAGGAAGCTGGGAGACTCATCCTCCCAGCTCCAGTTCAGCTGGTCACTCACAGAGTCCGTTCCAAGACCCCAGCCGCGCGTAATCATGAAGGTCCGACCCGCGCAGACAGGCGGGCAGAGACGGTCTGCGACGAACGGTGGAAGCGATTTTAAAAAACATTTTACGTGTAAAAAAAAAAAAAAAAATCATTTTTAAATCGCTTCAGCATTTTTTTAAAACATTTTTTGTATAAAAACAAAATGTTATTTTATTTAAAAATCGCTTCCACCGTCCGTCCCAGACTGTCCAGTCCGCCTGACTGCCGGGTGGGATCGGGATTCAGCCTTCATGTTTACGCGCGGCCAGGGTCTCGCAACGTCCATCTGCGAGTCCCCATCTCCAGCTTCGCAGTGACCTGCGGAGCTCTGAGCACACAAGGCTGGTATCCAGAACCCGAGCCTCCGAGTCGGCACATCGAAGGATCTTCCGCGGTGACCAGCTGAACTTGGAGCCGGGGAGATGACGCCCTGCCCGGCCTGGCGCTCCAGGCTCCTGAGGGAGGATCGGGGTACACCAGCAGAGCTCCATCCAGCTTGCTCTGAATTATGTTGTCGGCCACCAAGCACAAAAAATGCCAGCACATCAACATTAGACCAAGATGTTGTCAGTATTGTTTTTAAAATCTTTAAAATAAGACCAGCCGCTGCTCCAGTCCGAGAAATTGCAAATGGCGGATTATTGTTTTGAAACGTTTCTGAAGGATCCAGTGACTCCGCCCCCGACTCAGCCCCCGACCAACCAGTGACCGACAGTGTACTGACGTCACGTTTTTGTACCTCTTCGTACCGGTTAGAACCACAGAGCCAAGGGTACTGAAAATAGTAACAGGTGCTAAGTACCGGTACTAATGGAAAAGCCTCAGAACCGGGCCAAGTAGGGTCGAGTCGGCCCGTACCGGTACTAATGGAAAAGGGGCAATAGAGACAAACGAGACAAACAACCATTCACTCTCTCACTCACACCTAGGGACAATTTAGAGTTACCAATCAGCCTAACATGCATGTTTTTGGTCTGTGGGAGGAAACCGGAGCAACAGGAGAAAACCCACGCATGCACGGAGAAAACATGCAAACTCCACCCAGAAAGGCCCCTGGACTGGGGTTTGAACCAGGAACCTGTTTGCTTAGAGGCAGCAGCTCTACCAGTTGCGCCACCGTGCTGCCCCCCACTTGAACATCTGGCACCAAAAACATTTAGGTTCACTTACATTTCCTGTTCAATTCCAGTCCAGAAAAACACTCATTTAAAAAACTACAAACATTATTTAAAGCCCTCAGTGACGGGGCGTCGGAGGTGGATACTGTGTGAAGTTGTGCTGTCGTGTTGGGTTTGACCTCTCACCTGTTGTAGACTTTTAAACATTAACGTTCAAGAAGGCACGCCTGCATGACCCTAGATGACCTTCAGCCTGCAGAAAATGCTGACCCTTAATTATTACTGTCTGACCAACATTTAAAAAACTGCCTGTTTTAGTCCGTTTTTACAAATGAGAAAGATCCAAACAGTGTCCAGTCCAAAGTTTGTGCTGCTGATCAGAGATGGAGAACAGGTAAAAAACTTCAAATCACCTGAATCTTATAGTCTTTCCAAATAAGGTGAGTATAAATCCTTTGGGTGAAGCCTGGGAGCATGGCAGCACCCTGGTGCAGATTCTCCATCTCAGTCCAGTTGTTCTGTTTGGAACAGCTGTTTTGGATAGTGCAGCATATTTGTGACATGGGAGCTGCACTGACTGAAAGTGAAACTTCCCATGATGGCCTCATGCCTAGTCTGCATAAAGCTCATGGAGATGACCCGACGCTGTTGTAGTACTTGTAGGAGCGTCCTGACAAAGTGCTGCCAGTGTACGGATCGGGGCGAAGCAGCAGGAGAGAGTTGAGGAAATCGGATCATAACAGGCGAGTGCTCAAGGTGTAACAGCCTCATGAACGAAGAGCTTTCCAAATCTGCCGTGACCCATCTACATTTAATGTATGGTTCAAGTCATGGAGGCTGCAGTGGGGTCACCACTGAGCGTTATGAGTGATGACTGCTTCCACCATGTGTCCGTAGCTTTGCTATTTGGGAATTTTCTTTCTTTGTAGCTCATTTCTTTGTTGTTGGACTGTCTGAAGGCACACTATTATCCATCTGACAATGGTCTTCTTCTGTCAACTTTAATGCGGCTGAACATAAATGTGTTCCCCCACAAATATATCAAAACAACCGGCTCGGCACCGTGATGTGTGCTATTGCTTTTATTGGTGTTTTGAGTTACCATGGTGACGTAATTAACAACGAAGCCATTTGTCTCGTTGAAAAACACTGAGAACCCTTCACAACCTCGAACTGACACAGTCACATGACCTAGAGTCAAGATGTCCCTGAACAAAACACTGATTAACTTTTGGAGCCATTTTGGTTCAAGATGGCTGCCACAGCTACCTCATAAACTTTAAATTTACTCCAACTCAGTCATTCTTTGAGATATTGAGCTGAAATTTGGTAGGTTTGTATCTGAGAGTGAGTTGTTATATATTCCTAATGCAAATAAAAAATTTCAACCTTAGCCTTAGCTAAAAGGGAAAAAAATACTATAACAGCCAATTTTAGAGCTAGTGTGGTGGTAGCTGACAGTGATGATCAACACATTTTGAATTCAAATGTAAAAATGCAAGATGGCTGCAAAACTAATTTCAACTGGATATAAATCTGAGGTTTTTAGAGCTATAATTTGGTGTATTGGTAGCTGAGAATGATGCAGACTGATTGAAAATCAAATATCCAAGATGGATGTCTGGTCTAAAAAGGAAAAAAATACTGTAAATCAGCCATTTTTAGAGATATTAAGATGAAATTTGGTGTGATGGTACCTGAGAGCAATGCCCATTAAATACTGAATTCAATTAAAAAAATTAAAGATGGCCACCACAGCTAAATTTAAATGGCTTAATTCAGCTATTTTTACACATACAGCTGAAATTTGGTGTGCTGGTAGCTGAGAGCGAACCCCAACACATAGTACTGTCCAAAATGGCTGTGACAAAGTTTCAAAGTTTCTCTAGGAACTTTCTAGTTTGAACATTTTGCTCATTTCACAAACAAAGCATTCTTAAGGCAACTATTTTACCTGGCTGGTTCTGAGAGCCTGTTCGAGCTGTTTTCACAGACACAGCAGTTCTTGGTGAATGACTCGAACACACACTCACCATGGTACTGAAGGCTTCTTGCAGCTGCTGCTGTTGGAGGAGCAGACCGCAGGCCACACATTCCCCCTGACAGTCACAGTGTGCAGGGGTGAAGAGACATCCCATCAGAACCAGCAGGCACCACAGAGAGGTCTTCATCGCTCAGCACAGCCAGACAGGACGGGACGAACCGGAGCCCAGCAGCTAGCGCAGTCAGCAACACTCAACGGCTGCAGAGGTAAACGGGATCTGGCTCCAGCCTACAGGGAGGGAGAGCACACCAAGTGACAGCAACATTGCATCAACTCCCAGTTTTTAGAGATAATTAGCCGGATCTGTGTGGTCAGTCATAGCGTTGGTGGTGGACGAGTGTTCAGCCAACACCAGGAGATGGACGGCGTAGGAGGAATTGATGGAGAGCACAACCCGAGGCAATAAATGGAAAGAAAATGGGTATTTTCCAGTGGGCAGGAATCATCATCTGCTGGGGGGCTGGTGCACAGATTGGACTCTTTCTTACAGATAATGTTAGGGATTTGTAGCAGTTTACATTTGGCTGTAAGGATTAGCTTTCAGCCATGTTGTGGGTCATACTGTGTGGCAGAAGAACCCTTCACAGAACAATTTGAACATGAAGAGATGAGAAGGATAGGAAGGGACAAAACAGTCAAAGTTGATAATACATTTTTTTTAGGTTTCATCCCATGTGAGAATAAGCTGAAGGAGAATAAGAGGAGGAATGAATAAACTCCACAGGACTCTTGCAATAAAACATGTGAAGCAGATGGGATGTTTGTTATTTGACCTTCACTCTCTGAGCTACATTTATTCTATCACACACCACTTTATCTGCTAATAACTGAGAAAAAACACTCAGCACAGAATATCAGAGCCTGCCTGGGCTCAGAGGCTGGTTCACCTGCAGGTCTACGAGTTCACAAGCTGAAGTCTGATAAGACAAACAACCCTAAAACTATATCTCTCCTTCTGTTTTGTGAGCATTTACTAATTTGTTCTAAAGCACGAGTCGCTAATTTATCCACCGTCAGATTTAAAAAGCTTTTATGATCCAATAATTTCACAGTGTTCCTGTTCACACTACCAAATTAAAGTGCAATGTTTACTTTTTATTCAGTTTTAGGTGTAACGAACGATTTATGGCTCTTTTTAGCTTCCGGGGGCGGCTGTGGCTGAGTGGTTAGAGCAGTCGTCCTCCAATGCAAGAGTTGGGGGTTCAAATCCACCAGCAGTCACATGTCCAAGTGTCTCAGGGCAAGACACTGAACCCCTTGATACCTCCGATGTGTGTCTCATCGGTGTATGAATGTGATAAAGCTCTGATTAGTCTCTTTAGAATGATTTGTTCAATTAGCTTTGTAGAGCTCTAGTAGAGTGCTGTATGAATGGATAAATGAGGCACAGATTGTAGTGTAAAGCGCTTTGAGTATCTCGATAAGATAGAAAGGCATTATATAAGTACAGTCCATTTACCATTTAGTGTGTATTTAGCTGTAGCTAACTTAGTTCAAAAAACGTTCAATACAAAAACAACTTGACTTTTTTTGTAACAGAAGACGTTCCTCTCCTCATCCGAGGAGCTTTCTCAATTGGCTAACATAGCTTGTTGCTGTTAGCCATTAGCAGCTGTTGTAGCTTCAACTATTGAATTATCTGTGCTGTAAAAGCTCAATCATTGAACTAAAAGGTGCTGAAACATGCTTTGATTTGTGCCTAATAAAATCTAATGTGTGGCTTTGCATGTGCTCTGGAGTCCAGTAGCGGCTCCAGAAAATGTTTAATAGGGTGGTCATGTGGGGGCCCCTGAAGCTCCTGGGGTTGCACACCAAAACCAAAAACTAGAAAATAATTTTAGGATATTTGTTACACAATTTATAGGTTAATTGACAATTACAGCAAAGCAGCAGTTATTGCTGTCTCCCCTGGGGGCACCCGTGCTGGAACCACATTTCCACTGGGGATTACAAAGAATTTAGTAATGTTTACAGTTTTAAGTTCTGCCTAAATAATTTTTGGTTTATGGGATAACTTTTAGGGCAGCACGGTGACTCAGTTGATAGAGCTGCCGCCTCTCAGTGAGAAGGTTGCAACATCACTTGTCAATCAATACATTACACTCGTCCTCAACTGACCAATCGGCGATCTCTGTTTGTACCGAAGCGAAATGCCCCGTACCTGCAGGAGCTCCACCCCCTTTCCTCCAACAACATTGTCAGGGTTTTTCATTAGAAATATTTTGCAGTCATCGGTTAATAGTTAAAGGTTAATGCTTAAAGCTAGTTGTGCTTTGTTTTGTGCGTTTTATATGTAGATATATGTTGCAACTTCTGGTTGCATAAGTTTAGTCTTTGTTTGCTATGATCCTTTAAAAGTCCTAAATGTGGCTGAGCTCCTTGTTTATGGCCATGCCACCCTGAACACACCCTATCTCGTTTGATCTTGGAAGCTAAACAGGGTCAAGCCTGGTTATTTAAGATACTTCTGGTTAGTTCAGGTCTCTCTTGTAAATGAGTCCCAGAGGCTCACTGAGATTAACCTATATAAATAAACAACAAAGTCCATGCTCAATATATAAATAAAGGTTGAATGAATAGTACCAGGGCAGCATGGTGGCGCAACTGGTAGAGCTGCTGCCTCTCAGCGAACAGGTCCCTGGTTCAAACCCCGGTCCAGGGGCCTTCTGGGTGGAGTTTGCATGTTCTCTCCGTGCATGCGTGGGTTTTCTCCGGATGCTCCGGTTTCCTCCCACAGACCAAAAACATGCATGTTAGGCTGATTGGTAACTCTAAATTGTCCCTAGGTGTGAGTGAGAGAGTGAATGGTTGTTTGTCTCGTTTGTCTCTACGTGGCCCTGTGATGGACTTGCGACCTGTCCAGGGTGTACCCCGCCCCTCGCACAGTGATTGCTGGACATGGGCACCAGCGACCCCCGTGACCCAAAATGGAATAAACGGGTAAAGATAATGGATGGATGGATGAATAGTACCATAGTTGTATGGGAGACTGCCTGGGAATACCAGGTGCTGTAAGCTTTTACACACCTCACGAACCACACCGTGGGGTGTGTTGTTCAAGCCTAGATTCATTATGAGTTGAGTACTGGGCCAGTACTGGGGGCTAAACACCCCTAAAAGTCATAGCCTAGAATAGCCCCTGACAAGAAAACCTGAAAAATGGGGCGGCAGAAAGAAAGCTTGGTAAAAGAGAACGTTTTGCATTTTTGTCGACCCACGCAGCGGGACTCAGCCGACACGTCTACAGCGAGGACATTACACCGATGCAAGCGAAAGGGCATTTTAGAAATGAAACAGCATCTGTGTTGTATTGATAGGTGCAATGAGGTGAAAATAAATGAACAGGTAAAAACCAGCCCACTGTGACCATTTCCACTCAGTCACATTACAACTGGTAGTCATCAGCATACGACACATGTTGCGTGTGACTCCCGTTCATTTATAACTGACTTTATAGGAAATCATTCGAGGGCCTGTTTGTTTGCATTCTGTTTCTTGCAATGATCATTTAGCAGCCTGCTGACTAAGCCCATTTGATATTATGTTCTCCCTTAAGTGGCCCTTTCTAAGTTAAACAAATGAGCACAGCGACGCAGAGTGAGCGATGGCGTAGGCGCCGGGTGCGCTCCAATATTACAAAGACGCAGCTTTCACACATTAATAACCCTCCACCAAAGTGTGTTAATACGAAGTGACATTTCAGGCTTCTGGCAGGCTGTTTTGTCAACACTGTTACTAACGAGCTCGTACAATATTCATGTTTTAGTAATTACTCAAAAACATCCATTTGTCTGCCGTCACACATTCAACCCTGCTTTTCAAGTGTTCTGGTTAAAGCTTTCAGCAGAGCCGCTCAGACCTGCTGAATATCTGACGCTCAGTGGAGCGTAACCAGCGTCCTGCAGCTCTTCTGGTTTCATTTCATTTAATTGTCTTATTGTTTCTTCGTTTATTACTTTTGCTGCAGTAACTCGGGGTTAGTCAATCCTGATGCATTGTTGCTGTTTTTCTTGTAGCTATTCTTTTCTGCAGGAGATGCCACAGAAAGTGAACTCACATGATAATTATCCTGATGCATGCTCAATAATCCAGGTAGAAAAATCTAAAAAAGTTCAATATGGCCCTCTGGACAATAAAAAAAAAAAAAAAAAACCTCAGATCAACTCTGTGGATAAATACATCAAGTTCACACGAGAAGATGTAAAAAATGACAGGCTGGCTTTCATGGACTGTGAGGTCTCAGTCTCTGATAGAGGACATTTGCAAACTGAGGTGTACCGTAAACCCACCCACACAGACCAGTATTTGCAGTTTGACTCCCATCACCCTTTGGAGAACAAGTTAGGAGTCATCAGGACTCTGTACCACAGAGCAGACAGCGTCCCCACTAGCTCAGGAGCCAGGCAGAAGGAGAAATCCCATACAAGACAGGCTCTAGAGCAATGTGGATATCCTAACTGGGCCTTCCTGAAAGCAGAAAAGAAACCCAAACAGGACTCCAGTCAGCCATCAGGTGAAAAGGAGGAACCCAGACCCAGACCAGTGGTCACTCCGTATGTTGCGGAAGTATCAGAGAAACTGAGACGTTTATTTTCTAAACCTAACGTCCCAGTGGCTTTTAAACCCCAAAATACATTACGGCAAAGACTGGTTCATCCCAAAGATCCAGTCCCCCGGCACAAACAGAGTAATGTTGTGTATGCTGTTCAGTGTCAGGAGGGCTGTGATCAGTCTTACATCGGGGAAACAAAACAGCCACTGGCCAAAAGGATGGTCCAGCACAGAAGATCAACATCATCAGACCAGGACTCTGCGGTCTACACTCATCTCCAGGCCAGCGGTCACTCTTTCAGGGATGAAGATGTTCACATCCTGGACAGAGAGGAACGATGGTTTGAGAGAGGAGTAAAGGAGGCCATCTTTGTGAAAATAAATCGTCCATCATTAAACAGGGGTGGAGGCCTACGGGTTCAACTGTCCCCCTCTTACAATGCTGTTTTTGCTAGTATCACTCAGCCCTCTGTGAACAGTAAACAGCCATCAGTGTGCTAATGATCCATTGTTAGGCTGATGGTCCTTCTTGACCATGTGATCAGCTGGTTTTGGTTGTCAGCAGCAAACTGGTTG